TTTTCTTAAGTAAGATTTCTTTTTCTTTTCAATAGTAACTCTAGAAATTTCTAATTTGTTTGACTCAGGCGTATAAATAGTGGTATAATACGCGATATAACAAACAACAACACATAATGTCACGAAGAAAGTCTTATTGTGGAAAAGTATCATTTGATATTCTTCGCTCAGTTTTTTGGCTGTAAAACAGGTAACGATTATATTTCTTTATATTCGACTAGGAGAAATTAATGATATATAATTTTAATTTAATCAGAATCTGGAAATTCTTGTTCTACACTTCTTGATATGACTATGGGCGTTATAACATTTTGTACGAAGCATCTTCATACTAAAAAGAACATGTTATTTTTATTACAACAATGGACTGTTGAATTTAATTTCAACTAAATGTATTTTTGCGGTTTATGAAGACTATTGTATTACTGAAGATGGCCAGATTGTGGCCGAAACGTTTAATGTTTTAATTAATATAATAAGTAAATATCACAAATTATAACCTGTGGTATGGTTCTTTATGCTCTTTTTGTATCTTTATTATTTAAATATGACATCGAGACAAAAGGTAGACATTAAATATATGTGTACAGACTTTTATAATGTGTCAATCTATGTTTGTTAAATCATATTTTAAACAAAATATGCGTCCTTTCCTGTATTACAACAGCATTCAAATCTTTACGATGCAAATATTTTTAGTGCTGTTTTAATACGCGGAATAACACGAATTTGGAATCGGTCTAGAGAGAATATTGAGAACTGTCAGTTGACATCGGAAAATTGTCGTTATGTCACATTTTAAATCCCTCTCATTCCATTAGAAAAACATAAAAATATAAAAAAAAATTTTTTAAATATATTTTTATATATATATGTATATACGTGTAAAAAAAAGTGAGAAATATATTTATTTATGTACGTGTATACACGAATAAAATATATCTAAGAAAAAAGCGGAGTAAGATGGACCACGGACGGAGTAAAATGATTCAGTTGCTAGATCTCGCGTTTTAGCTTTTAGCGTAGTAGCTTTTTTTTTTAGAAAGTTACCTTACCTTCTCTTATTTATGTACATGTATGTATGTATGTGTCTAGGTATGTATGTATACACATATATGTAAGGAAAAAATAAAATATTCGGTATCATTTTTATAATTAATGTGAAATCATTTCTCTACAGCGATATATGTAAGAAAAAAAATAAAATTTATTATTCTGTATTATATATTTACGTATAATAAATGCGTAATTATTTCTTTATAATAATTCTATCCTCGACAATCCTTATGTCTCGCCTAATTTCTTTCATAGGACAGAAATTTAATTATTCAAAATACATGCGCTAAGTATATCCACACGTCATCGATTTGCATATAAGATCATTAATGTCTTAATACATGAATGTAGATAAAAGTACATACGTACGTACATACATACAAATGGGAATGCATATATATTATGAGGATGCATAAATTCATGTGTTAAAATATTAATAATCCAGAGAAGTATTTACGTCAATAAACACAACACACATCACTAAATCGTATTTTGGTATACATAGAAAACGTGCATGTTTTTCTTTTTTTTTTAAAGATATTTTAGCAATATCAATTAAAAATATCAGCCAAAAATTAATTAAAAAATCAATATCAGTAACTAATGTGAGAAAAAAAATTTTGTTATAAATACGCCTTGAAATCAACTGCAAAAAAAATGAAACTAATAATTTGTTTATAATGACTTTATGCAGCGAAATGATCTTATTTTGTTGCAGTTTTAAATAATTTTTAAACGATTAAGTGAACCCAAATGAATTTTTACGCTATACAATAAACTTGTTTGTTAATTTTGTTAATATGTATAAAAAAAATTTGATTTAATTCGTAATGCCTTATCAAATTTGCAAATTACTATCCATACAGCACAGAATTTGCAACAATTCACTGCAAAATCTGCAAAATTGTTGTAACATACAATGTTGCAACAGTATTATTGCAACTTTTGTGCAATTTTGTGCAACTTTATGCTGTATAGGGGTAATACAAA